CGCCCAGCGCCGAAGGCTACTAGCTAACGCTACCACTACTATAACGCAGCGCTCCCTCCAGAGGGCTGCTCCCGAATCCTGAAGACTACAACTGCCGACTGCCYCCCTCCTGTAGGGCRGGCYAGTCCTTTATAGTGCTGGCCCGTGCAGGAGGCTGGTCGTGCCAATGCCCTATGCGCACGAGGCCGCTCTTGCCAATGCCTCCCTGGCCTAGACCCTGCGGAAGCTTCCAGGCAAGAGCCTGGAAGTTTCCCTGTAGGGAAACAGGCTGGGGCCTGTAGGCCCTGTCAGAAGGAAGCTTCCAGGCAAGAGCCTGGAAGTTTCCCTGTAGGGAAACAGGCTGGGGCCTCTAGGCCCTGTCAGAAGGAAGCTTCCAGGTAAGAGCCTGGAAGTTTCCCTATAGGGAAATAGGCTGGGGCCTGTAGGCCCTGTCAGAAGGAAGCTTCCAGGCAAGAGCCTGGAAGTTTCCCTGTAGGGAAACAGGCTGGAGCCTGTAGGTCCTTTCTCGGGCTGTCAGGCTGAACCGTCGGTGGGGCCTGTAAGCCTTGGATATCAGGCTTAAAGCCCGAAATTCAGGTTTTTTGGCCTGAACGACGTCGGGCCTGCAAAATGGCCCGTGTGTGCATGTGCAGCATGTAACACACCCTCTACGGCGAGTCTACGAGGGCGCTCTTCCTGCGAACTTCCAAGTCTTGGTGCCCCCTTGCCCTCCGCCGTCCGATGGCGACGAGACGAATGGCTCCGGCGCTGTCTGGCCAAAACTGGACTTCGAAGATTGACACCAATTTTTCCGGGCCCGTCTTTGCCTCTTCTTGCCTGATTGACCTTGAGTTAGGAAAAGTTTGAAATAGGCGTGGATTTTCCCTGTTTTCCAGCAATTTTGCTTTTTATCCTTCCTTCCTGAAACTGTGATCTTACGAGGGCAACATTGGAAATAACACGAGAACCTTGGCTCTATATCGGCGGTTCAACCCCCTCGCGCAAATCCTCGCCCCACCTACTCCGAGCAGCGCTCCCCGCAGGTACGAGACGCTGCATGGAGCGTGAGGTTGGTATCATAGCCGAGTCGTTGCAGGTCCTGGGGACTCCGAGGTTTCCCTTGAAATTTTCTGTTTTTCAAACACTGGCTCCGCGTTGCCGTTGTGGTGACAGGCGGACACTACCTCTAGAGAGAGAGAGAGAGAGAGAGAGAGAAAAAACAAAAAAAAAAACGAGCTTGAGAGGGAGCCTACGGTGGTGGACTGGCGAGATGCAGGAGTTGCAGTTGAAACCCCTTTCAACTCATTCCACCCCTGCCCGCAGCTCCTCTCTTCGAAGAAGGGAAGACTGACCATCGTGCATGGCTGGCCATCGTTAAAGCCAAAGCTTGGTCGGACAAACTGCTCAGGGAAAGAATTTCCGAAAGCATTATCGGAACTACGAATACGTGGTATGGGCAGCACCCTTTCAGTAATTGGTTGGAGTTCCAGCAGCAGTTTCTCTAACAATTTGACCACTTGGCTTGGCTCATCCGGGGATACACCCATTTAGCTTCTTTTTTTTTTCTTTTTTTTTTTCTGGAGTAAAACAATTTCATTCCATCCGGGAATTTGACAGGGGCCCGGGAATACACCCCGACAATGCAACCCGGTACATGTACATGCTCGGGCCTTTACCCAGCTGTAGGCTCCTGGAAACTGGGTCCAGTGTCCCTCATTGTGAGTATCTCCAAAACACACCAAAAGAAACCTCTCAAAGGTAGAAACAAAGTTCCCCACTCTGTCTGATGTTACATAAGACCCCTCCTATACTAATTATCTTTACCGCTTACGGGCTATCTTTTTTTTTTTTTTTCCGCTTACGTGCTATTTCGCCCGATCCAGTCCACATTCTCACCTACCATCCACTCATTCGGGCCTACCCTCGGCCCTATTTCAGTCATGTGAGTCAAACAACCAGCGACAGATTGAGATTCACCCTTCCTGGTTGATACACCTATTTAGCTAACCACTTCAAAGTGGATTAAAAAAAAAAATGGTAAGAGAAGACTTTGTGCGACGATTTGCTGACTTGAAGCTTAGACCCAAGCCCGACCCCCATCACCTTCTGGGCGGGTTGGGGCAGGTGGGTGCGGCTGTGGGCACCTGGTTGCCCCCTCTGACCGAAAGTACGCCTTCACCGCCTCCAAATATTGCACCATGCTTATTAGACTATTTTTTGGTGGCCATTCTCTAAACTACTAGCTCTTCTCAATCCTGGATTTGCATACCTAAAGGCAACTTCTTAATAATTGCTTTATGGGTTATAACTTAGGGTGGAACCACTATCTATCATAACACTTCTTCTCCTCCTACAAACCTCTACATTTGCTATCACTGATTGTGCTGGTGTTTTCTTTTCCATAGCTCATACTTCGGGAAGTGTGACCCGTTCCTTGTCTATGTCTGTCGGGGGACCGCTCAAAGCAAACCTACAAGAAGCAACCTCCAGCGGTCTATCTCTGTGGTTGGCTACTTAAACCTCTACCGCGGCCCTTCGCCTGCACGTGGAAGAAAGGGCTATCTTCTGCACACTCTTCTTCATCACTATCAACACTTGCAACCCCTTTCGATCGCTGCTGCCCCTGTTGTGGCTGTGCTGCCGGCTGCTGCCCCTGTCGTAGGAGCGGTTACTTCTTATACTGGCCATTCCCTTTCGATCGCTGCTGGCCCTGTTGTGGCTGTGCTGTAGGCTGGTTTCACAGCTGGCAGCAGGGAATGATGTGGCCTTGCTTACCACATTTGAAGCACACTGCTGGTTGCCCCGGTGTTGCCACAACGGGGAGTCCAACAGGTTCATCTGCAGGTTCATCTGCTACCAGCTGACGCTCCTCAAACTGTGCATGTGGTGGGAACCTCCCCCTCCTAGCTGTGGTAGATGCCCTGCCTTGTGGCCGATCTCTGAAAGCTTAAAAAGGTTACACATCACTTCAGGTGCGACGAAGGCTCAACAGTGGGCAAATAAGCTCTCTGGCACCTACAGGTACATTGGTGCCTCCTCCTTGCTGACCCTTCCTTTCTTTTCAAAATAAAAAAATCCTCCCCCGACAACAGGTGTGTTCTTTTTTGTTCAGCTGCCTTCGCCTTCCCACCTCCCACTGGCCTCCTTCAGAGCTTGCTTCCTCAACATGCGTGATGGCTTTGCTTCCAAGCCCCCCTCTTATACTCATGTTGGGCTCCTTTCACATGCGCCGACCTGCCTTCGTACACGCGACATGGCCTGCACACGCCCAGGCCTACTTTCACATGCCCCTGCCTGCTTTCACACGCGCCAGCGTCTTTCACATGCGTTGTGTCTTTCATATACCCAGGCCTCTTTCGCACGTGCTGGCCTGCTTTCACACTTGCAGGCCTCTTTCACACACAAGGCCTTTTTTCCTTTTT